TGTTTCTCAAAGCTATTCCCTGCTCCCAACCCCTTTTCTCTAAACACCGATGAAGCCAAACTTTAGATATGAAATAAAAGTGCCAACACAATCTACTTTCTTCAACATGAGACAGTGCTCACTACAGATGGGTATTTAGATATTTGACTTGCAAATACATGCCTTGTACCGCACTCTTCCACATGCCCACCCCGCCTAAAAAAAAAAAAAGACCGTGAAGCGTAAAACTTGATCTCTCGGTACTTTCTCAGAAACTGACTCCAGGAGGCGCAGACGGCCTTCTCGGGGCATCCAGACGCTCGCGCGGGTCCTCCTCAGCCCTTCGAGCGGGACAGTGCCGGTCCCGAAGGCAGCGCCCAGGCGAGGTGGCACGGCCCCCGCCCGACCCCTGCGGCATCCGCGCTCCCCTCACCCCGGGGTGCCCCACGTGCTCACCCCAAAGCCGGCGGCAGTCGAGGCTACGCTGGCCCTCCGCTCCTCAGCCTCTTGGGGCCCCTCAGGGCAGGGCCTGAGACAGCTGAGGAGGCCGCCCCACGTTCACCTCAGCACTCCGGACGTCAGCCCCGCCGCGGCTCTCCCTCACCGGCTCTCCCCTGGCTCTGGCGGCGGCAGAACAGTTACGTTGCCCACGTGCCCGAGCCGGCATCACCTAGGCAGCAGCACAGGCGGCCACAAGGCGCGCCCAGGGGAGGAGCCTACGGACGCCTTGCCGCGTGGAGCGCACCAGGTGAGCACGCCTGCGCAGTCGGGCCGTAAACAAGCCCGCCCCTTCCCTTTGGCCCGCCTTCACGGGGCCGGCTCGCAAGTGGGCGGGGCTAGAAGGAAGAGGCCGGGGGAGAGCGAGCTCCAGGAACGGCGCCTGCGCGGTGGGCGTGATCCGGGCACTTAGGGCAGGATGAACGCTGCTTTCCAAGATGGCGACGGAGGGAGGAGGGAAGGAGATGAACGAGATTAAGACCCAATTCACAACCCGGGAAGGTCTGTACAAGCTGCTGCCACACTCGGAGTACAGCCGGCCCAACCGGGTGCCCTTCAACTCGCAGGGATCCAACCCTGTCCGGGTCTCCTTCGTAAACCTCAACGACCAGTCTGGCAACGGAGACCGCCTCTGCTTCAATGTGGGCCGGGAGCTCTACTTCTATATCTACAAGGGGGTCCGCAAGGTACCGACCCGGGCGTCACCGGGGCCCGCCAGCGGCATGGGCAGAGGCTGGGAGCAGGGCGGTGACAGCGGGGCCAGGGTGACCGATAGGGGTGGCCGTCGCTCTTACTTTTGAGTGGGCCGGTAACTCCACCGGAGTACTCCTGAGGAAAGGGGATTCAAGAGTGAGGAGGGTGGCGGCGGTGGCGTTTCGAAGGGGTGGGGACTGTGGAAAGGGACCGTGGGGTGCGGGGTTCCGTTTGGGAGGCCCCAGAAGAAGCCGGCTGCCTCCCCTCCAGCAGGGTCCGTCAGGCTCTAACATGGGCAGGGAGCGGGCCTGCGAGTCCCCGGAAGAGGTGGGGTGGCCGTCTTGTCTGCTTAGATCGCCTCGCCTCCTTGGAGGGTTGGGAGTCTCGCCCTGGGTTGGAGAACAGGGGCGCAAGGCGGCTGTGAAAGGTCTGTAAGGCGGAACCCGGGCTGGGAAGCGGAGGACTGAGACTAGGTCAGACAGAACCTGCTCGGCACGCAGGACTACTCCACCTGCTGCCGCACTGACACTTCTAGGAGCCTCTCCTTTTGGTGTTAACGCTTTCTATTTCCCAAAACATCCGCGGGAGGAGGGCTGTCACTGTCCGTGCCTACGGAACCTTCTCCTGAAAGATTGTTAAAGAGGGTCATCCTGTCCCTACAGTATGGGAAGGGCTCAGTACTACAGTTGGGAGGTCGAAATGATGTTTTCAATGAACTGAGCTGGTTCAGAGGGGTTCTGTGTGAGCGTGCCCAGATTTATCTTGTCCAGCAAGTCAGACTATGTTCCAAATAGGGAGGGATATGCCTTAAAACCCACTTTAAAGGAACCGACGTTCTTGGCGGGCGACTTAACAGTATTTCTGTGAAGCATGTAACCATCCTTTAAAAATCTCTTTAAAAGCAGCAGTTTATTAGCGCTTTCTTTCTCATAGTTACACGGTTTATTTGCCGTGTAACTGTGTTCTCACAGAGAACTGCTTATTTTCGAGATTGTGGTCTTTGACATGACTCCTTGGATGAGTGAGGAAATTAATGTACCCGCAGCATCTTCGAATGGGACAAAGTGATAAAAGATTAATTTGTAAATGTTCAATTAGTGTGAAAATAAGTTGTACATCTTTAAGAGTGAACATTCCCAAGGTTTGATATATCCAGATCCAGTACAGTATTTTTGCTTGTTTACAAGAATTAGGGAAGTGACAATGATATCTGAATGTAGCAAGTTCTTTGTCACACTCAAGGTGAATCTTTTTTATTAATGTTTATGATAATAAGCATACTATTATGTTTGGGGTATGCTGTTAAAAGTTATCGAAGGTAAATCGCTTGACTTTTCTTTTTCTCTCTTTTGGAATTGGGAAAGTGTGAAGTAGTTAGTAGTCTTGGAGCTGAAGTTTTACTTCTACTCCCAACTTTGTCACAGACTTGGGTGACCTTGGATAAGTTATTTAACTTTTATTTGCACTTCTTTAAAAAGGGAATATTGTGCAGTGCACATGTTGTAATTAATAATATAATAACTGTAATGAACTATAAAGCCCTGAAACACTCAGTATATGGTAAACACAGTTAAAATAAGCATTGAGAGTAACTGTCAAACAGGAAGCTGCCATCTTGACATTGACTC